GCAGATGGGGAGGAGCAGAGAGAGAGAGAGAGAGGGAGGGAGAGAGAGTATCCCAAGCAGGTTCTACACTGTCAGCACAGAGCCCAGCCCAACATGGGGCTTGAACTCACAAACCATGAGATCATGACCTGAGCAGAAATCAAGAGTTGGATGCTCAACCAACTGAGCCATCCAAGCTCCCGAAATCATTTTATTTCTGAACCTCATTTTTCTTGCCTGTTAAATAAAAATTACAACAATAATTACTCAAGAGGGTTGTTTTAAGAACTAGACAGACATTAGGGATGAAAGTATGTCATTTATAAACTAAAAACACTATACAAACGTCATTACTATTCCTATTATTCCTTATTCTGAATTCCTGTGAGCAAAAGGACTAGGGAGATGTCCTGAGGCAAAGAATCAGATTTCTGGTACTGGTGCCCAGGATTGTCTGCTCTCCTCCCCAGCACCCTCCCTGGCACAGCCCTATCCCTAGCTGTGGGTCCAGCCAAGTAGGAAGTAGGGGAGGGCTGTGTCCTGGAATTGGAACACAGGGTGCCCTCTCTCCCTCTCTTGCACAATCAATGCTGTGCAGAGTTCTTGGGAGCAGGAGAGAAGTGCATCTGGTGTGCCAGGTCGGCCACATTCAGGATTAGATAGACTTGGGGACTGCCCTGAGAACCTGATGACCCAAGGTAACCTCATTTCTATGGGCACTGACATTGTGAGTTTTACACAACTGGCTTTATAAATACACTTTGTAATACATAGCCTATTCTAACAGTGAGGACTACTTGTACAAAACCAAAGTGAACTGCTTGAACTGTGGAGTGTACTTCTGAAAAGAATATAAAGACACGGCATAACTGGGGCACCCTGGGTGGCTCAGTTGGTTAAGTGTCCATCTCCTGGTTTCAGCTCAGGTGATGATCTCACTGTTTGTGGGTTTGAGTCCCACATCAGGCTCTGCACTGCCAGATTCTTCCTTTCCCTCTTTCTTTCCCTTTTTCTATGCCCCTCACCCATTTGCACACACATGCACACTCTCTCTCAAAATAGATAAACTTAAAAAAGAGATAAAGACATGGCATTACTATAAAACTGTGAGAGATTACTCCACGGAGAAGTCCCCTTTTTCTTTTTTTTATCTTTTTATCTTTTTATTTTTATTTTTTAACTGTTTGGGAGAGAGCCATAGTTACCTATTGATTTGTCTCTAGGATTCAGTCCAGGAGGAAAACCAAAGTGACTCATCAAGAGTATGTTACAGATAAGATTTCATGGATGCTATGTATAAGAATTAGTTGCCACAAGGGGTAAAAATCAATGTAAGGGCACCAAGGAAAGTGTCTTTTAGTTGGTAAGAAGGTAGTAAGGAGTGGGACACCTGGCTGGCTCATTTGGTAGAGCATGCAAGTCTTGACCTCAGGGTTGTAAGTTCAAGTCCCATGTTGGGTATAGAGATTACTTAGGAATAAAAATCTTTAAAAAAATATAAAAGGCAGGATGACTTGGTGGCTCAGTTCAGCATCTGACTTTTGATTTTGGCTCAGGTCATGATCCCAACTGTGGGATCAAGGCTTGTGTTGGGCTCCATGCTGAGTGTGGAGCCTGCTTAAGAGTCTCTCTCTCCCCCCACTTGTGCTTTTTCTCTCTAAAATAAAAACAGAAGAAAAACAAAAACAGTGCTGAAGCAAATGAACATTTATTTTATTTTTATGTTTGTTTATTTTTGAGAGAGCGAGACAGAGCACATGTTGGGGAGGGACATAGAGAGGGAGACACAGAATCTGAAGCAGGCTCCAGACTCTGAGCTGTCAGCCCAGAGCCTGATGAGGGTTTCAAACCCACGAACCGTAAGATCATGACCTGAGCTGAAGTTAGACGGTTAACCAACGGAGCCACACAGGCACCCCTGGACATTCATTTAAAATATTTTTTTCAGCATAACCCTCAGACCTTATCTAAAAATTAACTCAGAATGGATTATGGACATAAAGGTAAAATAACAATAAAAAAATAAAAAGTAATAAAGGGGAACGTTTTCATATGGCCCATGAGTTTGAGAGGGAAGCAACCTACAAATCTACAAGCTGATGGGGGCTGTTTGCAAATATAACTTTTATATTATTTATTTATTTTTAATTTTTTAATGTTTGTATTTGAGAGACAGAGAGACAGAGCACGAATGAGGGAGGGGCAGAGAGCGACAGGGTCTGAAGCAAGCTCCAGGGTCTGAGCTGTCAGCACAGAGCCCATCTTGGGGTTCGAACCCACAGAGGGTGAGATCATGACCTGAGCCAAAGTAGGAAGCTTAACAAACTGAGCCACCCACGTGCCCCTATTTATTTATGTATTTTTTAAATATTTATTTATAATTTTTGAAAGAAAGGGTGTGAGTGAGGGATGGATAGAGAGAAGAGACACAGACTCTGAAACGGGCTTCTTCAGGCACTGAGCTGTCAGCATAGAGCCTGACACAGGGCTCCAACTCAGGAACGGAGATCATGACCTGAGCCGAAGTCAGACACTTACCTGACTGAGCCACCCAGGTGCTCCCCTATTTTTTAATTTATTAAATGTTTTTAATGTTTATTTATTTTTGAGAGAGAGAGAGAGAGAGAGAACATGAGCAGGGGAGGGGCAGAGAGCAAGGGAGACAGAATCTGAAGCAGGCTCCAGGTTCTGAGCTGTCTGCACAGAGCCCGACGAGGGGCTCAAACTCACAAGCTGTTGAGATCATGACCTGAGCTGAAGATGGAGGCTTAATCAACTGAGTAACCCAGGTGTATTACTTTCTATATATCAAAGAAGCTTACCTACCCTGTGGAGCTTAGTTTCCAGTGGGGCTACAGGGGACCAGTTGTAAGTGCCGTACCAGAAGCATGGAGGGCATTGACAGATCAGTGCTTTGGTCAACATCAGCTATTCTTTTTAAATTAATTAACTGATTAATTTTTCATTATTATTTTTTTATTTTTAATTTACATCCAAGTTAGGTAGCATATAGTACAATACTGATTTCAGGAGTAGATTCCAGTGATTCATCCCCTTCATGTAATATCAGCTATTCTTTCTAAAGCAAATTCACACACATATGCAGATAAGGCATCCTAGGGGAACTTCATCATGTTTGGAATATTTTCATATTTCAAAACTGTCTTGGCAACAAGTTTATACAATAGAGACCCCTACCCCTACCTGTGCCAGCCTGGGGCAAAAACCAAATAAGAGTGGGGTGATTGAGTTTGGGCTCAAATCTTGAGATGATTCTGATCTCCCAAAGACAGAGATATTCCAGATGAAGTACCCAAATGTGTTCCAAATGTCACAGAAGATCTAGTGGAACTGAGGATTAAAGATGCCCTTTATTATTGTGAGCAGGGCCATCTTTAGGAGGGTTTGAGGCTGAGACTAGACATGGGATCTCTTCCTTCAACCCAACATTTTTATATATGTGAATATGGTTTATTTTTATATGAATTTGGACAAGTGAGTGAATATGGTTTAAAAGGTCAAGTATAGCTTAAACACCAGGAACTAATAGATATAAGTATTAGAAGAGCTGTACACTTGTTCATTCATTCATTCATTCATTCATTCAATATTTAGCATCCAATAGGGCCTGTGCTTCATTAGGGAATTTGAGATAAATACATACACCTCTCAGCTCTCAAGAACATGCATTCTATTTGGGTAAACAAGGTGTAAACATAGCTTCGTGCAGAATGTCCTAAGAGCCTATAGAAGCTGTTGGAACAAGCAGACTTAAATTTTCTAAGCAGAGAGAGGGATGGCAAAGCTCAAATTTGATTTTGAGAAGGAGGAGGTACTGAAAGCAAAGAGCAGAGTCAGTGCAAAGCCATGCAGCTGTGAAAGAAACTGACAGGTTCAGAGGACTGACGAAAGTCACAGTGTGGTTGGAAAGCAGAATATAGGCATGGGAGCTAAGGCTGCAGAGGAAAACAGACAGATCATAAAAACTCTTACACATGCCAAGGAGCTTGACACTTAATGAATAGATAATAAGAAACAAACCACAAGAAAGCTTTAACTTCCCAAGTGCCACAATCATATTTGCATTTTTAATAGATCACTGAGAAAGCAGTGAGAACAATTATAAAAGGCAAGAGCAAAGGAAAGGGACTACTTGGAAGTTATAGTAATGACACAATAGGAAAGTGTTTTCATTATCAAAAATTTAAATAATACAGAAGCTATTCCAGGAACAACACATTATCCTACTAATGGGTACTTAGGTTGTTTCTAATTTTTTTATTATTGACTATGAATATACTTGTACAGGGGTTCAGTAAATTGCTTATGAAAATGATTACTTCTAAAAATGGTGTTTTAAAAAACTAGATGCCGGGGGTGCCTGGCTGGCTCAGTCAGAAGAGCATGCGACTCTGGATCTCGGGGCTGTGAGTTCGAGCCCCTTGTTGTGTGTAGAGATTCGTTAAAATGAATAAAAGTTTTTTAAAAACTAGATATGTCTGTCTTCTTGGCATGGCTAAATAGATTTTTGAACCATTAAGGGATGGATAAGATAGTAACAAAACTCTAACATCACTTTACGTCCAATTAATATCAGCCAAAACACGACTGAGCCCAGTACTACAGAGAAAAATACTAGTCCATTAGAATCCAGTCTGAGATAGGGAAGGACTCTTCACAGCTCTTGTTCTGGACTGAATATTTTTGTCCCTCTAAAATTCATTTGTTGAAAGCTTGACTCATGTGATGGTATCAGGAGGTAGGGCCTTTGGGAGGTGATTAGGTCATGAGGGGATAGCCCTCATGAATGGGATTCATGTTCTTATAAAAGAGACCCCAGAGATCTCTCTTGACCCTTCTGCCAAATGAGGACACAGTGAGACAATGGTTGTGTTTATGAACCAGGAAGACACTGGATGCTGAACCTGCTGGTGCCTTGATCTTGGACTTCTAGGCTCAAGAAATAAATATTGTTTAAGCCATCCATGCTTCCCTTTCATTTTTGCATCTGAAAGAGCAAGATGGGTCATCAGCAGCTCTACTGGGGCCATCAGATGAAATTTGGCCAGGGTTCTCGTTCTTGCCTTATCTGCTCAAACTGGCACAGTCTGATCTGGAAAAATGGCCTCAACATGTGCTGCCAGTGTTTCCATCAGTATTCACAGGATATAGGCTTCATTAAGTTGGATTAAATGACCTTCCTTGAATGGATCATCCAAGATGCCTACCTTAACTGCAGATACCCAAGATAACCTACCTGAATGCCAACTCATTGAACATAAAATAAAATACTTAAATTATGACTGTTTTAAAGTGAAAATAAAAAGCCACCTAGTCTGTTATTTTATTAGAGCAGCCCAAATGGATTAAGATAGCTCTCATTGATATACTTGGGAAGAGGAGACACACGTGATGGAAATGTGATATATATATATTTTTTAAATGTTTTATTTATTTCTAGGAGAGAGATAGAGACAGCGTCAACAGGTGAGGGTCAGAGAGAGAGGGAGTCACAGACTGAAACAGGCTCCAGGCTCTGAGCTGGCTGTCAGCACAGAGCCCGACGCGGGGCTCGAACCCACGAACCGCGAGATCATGACCCAAGCGAAAGTCGGACGCTTAACCGACTAAGCCACCCAGGCGCCCCGTGATATATTTTTCCTGTGAAGGCTTTCACCTAAAGAGGAATCTCGTGACAAAGGGGAGAAATCGGGCCAAGTGGAAAAGCCTCTCAGAGCAATGCAGCACATGAAGCTGATGGCCCAGGCAGCATCCAGGAGGGCATGTCCCACCAAGTGATCACCAATGTGGTGGTTGGTTGGCTGTAAGTGTTGGTTTTGGAAGGTCATTGACTTAAAACAAGGCTCTCCAATTTTCTCCTCTCTGTGGCAGCTCTCTTACTGTGGTCATTTAATCATCAAAAAAACTGAAACCCTTACAAGGTCTGAGGTCAGATTTGTTTGGGGTCACATCTCCTTTAGGTTTTGTACCAACCCCATCTCTCACAGATTGGTGTTAATTCTCTGCCTAAAGCCCTAGAGGGATGAAGAATTTCCAGTATCTCCCTTATAGATTCATCTTAGGTTCCCCATACTTTCATAGTCAGGGATATACCCCAATATCTAAAGCTGAGCTTGATTTTCTTGGTTAAACTCTTTTTAAAAAAATTTTTTTAAATATTTGAGAGAGAGAGAGAGAGAGGAGAGAGCACATGCACAAGTAGGGGAGAGGCAGAGAGAGAGAGAACGAGAATTCCAAGCAAGCTCTGCAATGTCAGCACAGAGCCTGACATGGGGCTTGAACCCACAAACTGTGAGATCATGACCTGAGCCAAAATCAAGAGTCAGACGCCCAACCAACTGAGCCACCTAAGTGCCCCTCTTGGTTCAACTCTTAAAGACAAGGATGAGGACAGGAGTCAGCCACGATATTAGAGTTATGATATCATGGACTATGGAACTCAAGACCAGCATAGAAACTTCTGAGTATTGGACTAGACTAGAACTGTCTGCAGAGCTTCATATCTAGCAGGTTAGTAAGTGCATATTTAGTAATGGCTAGTTCTCCTGACTAGTCGCATAATTACAAAATTCTCTTACCTGAGAAAAAAGATTCCTAAGAAGTATCTTAAAACCATAGTGGGAGATCCATGTGTGTTTCAAACAACTACCAGCCCATACTTAAAGAAGATATCATTTCCTCCAATTTGCAGAAGAGAAAAGTTGTGGGAAAGGAGATAGCATGCTCAAAGCGGATTCAGCCAAAAAGATTTTAATCTACTTGCAACTGGGCACTCTAAGGTCCTCCCTTCTCATGTCTCTTCTCTCGCTTGATGGAGAAGAGCCCACAGCCTCTTGACTGTGTTCCAGTTGTCTGTCTCTCTTATCTGCAAACTGGCAGGGAGACTTGGGACAGCAGAGACTACACTGTTTCAGCTCACTCACTGACTTGTTGGATGAGTCTTTAAACTTAAGGCTGGTAGGGGACACCTGAGTGGCTCAGTCAGTTAAACATCTGACTTTGGCTCAGAACATGTAGTTTGTGGGTTTGAGCCCTGTATTCGGCTCTGTGCGGACAGCTCAGAGCCTGAAGTCTGCTTTGGATTCTGTATTTCCGTCTCTCTCTGCCCCTTTCCCACTCATGCTCTCTCTCTCAAAAGTAAATAAACATAATTTTTTTTTTTTTTAATTAAAGCTCATAGGCCATATGGTAAAGAAAAGCTGTAGCCATGAGATTTCAGCCAAATCTCTTACAACATCCTTTCAAAAGAAGTGGAGAAATACAAACAGGGTGAAAATGGAGATGATTCACCACATATGAATTCTGACTTACTGGATCCATGTGAATCCAGAGGCTGACTCTACTCCGACTCCGTCCTGGTTAAAATTTTGTCCATGACTTGAATAAGTACAACAGTGACAGTCTGATGAATCTACAGCCAACATGAAGCCAGAGAAGACAGTGAATAGAGGAGATATCAAAATCAGAATCCAAAGAGTGCTCAACAGGCTGGAGCAACAGGGAGAATCTGGCAAGATGGAAGTGAACAGGAAAAAAAAGTCAAGTACACAGGCATTAGGTGAGAAGATGGGCTTTTTGTAGCATCCATGTAAAGGACTTAAGATGAGGTTAATGTACAAGAACAGAGAGATGTGCTACAATGATTAAAGGCTATAATTATAGAAGCATAATGTCAACAGTAAGGGAGATGATTGACCTGATCTACTTTATACTGGTGTTGTCATATCCACAAATTTACTTATCAAGTTTTTGGCACACCCTGTAAGAAATATTTGTAAGAAAACAAATATTAGGTTATGTACAGGACAGTAAAAGTACTTGAATCACATCTTGAAAGGAATGCTCACAGGAGTTCAGAATTTTACCTAGAATCAAAAGTTTTTATCTTAAAAAATATTGATAGTGACATGATTTCTGTCTTGAAATACCTGGAGCTCTGAAATACAAATGTGGAAAGAAGTTGGGCCATTTGGCAGGAACATTTTGGAAGGAAGGCATCCCTCAGAGAATGATAGGATAGATGATGGCCAAGGCCCTTCCAGTTCAGAGAGGCTACAGCCTTGTCCCTTTGGCATGTCACAGGACTCCTATGTGTCTTATTTCCTCATGTAAAAAATTATGTCCAGGCAGGGCTTTGATATGCAAGCTCTTTTTTTGCTCTGATTAGACTGTGTTTTTATACCTCTTTTTCTTTGAATTTTCCCACAAGACTGGGCACAGATGGGAGTTAATACATTCTTGTTCCAAGGCTACCTACTTCCATTAAATGAGAGCAATGGAAAAAAGACACATGCTGCTCCAAGAAAGGCTATGTGAGGAGAGAGAACCTGCTGATAATGGTCAGGGGATAATTGTATCCCCCCAAATTTATAGTTTGAAGTCCAACACCCCCTACCCAGTACCTCAGAATGGGACTGTATTTGGAGATAGGATCTTAAAAGAAGTAAGTTAGAATAGGTCATATGAGTGGGCCTAATCTGATATGAATGGTGTCCTTATAAGAAGGGAAAATTAGGACACAGGCCCATGAAGACACAGAGAGAGGATGGCCATCTGCATCCAAGGAGGCCTCAGAAGAAACCAATCCTGGGGCGCCTGGGTGGCTCAATAGGTTAAGTGTCCCACTTCAGCTCAGGTCATGATCTCACGGTTCATGGGTTCGAGCCCCGTGTCGGGCTCTGTGCTGACAGCTAGCTCAGAGCCTGGAGCCTGTCTTCGGATTCTGTGTCTCCTTTTCTCCCTGACCCTCCCCTGCTCATGCTGTCTCTCTCTCTCTCTCTCTCTCTCTCTCTCAGAAATAAATAAAAAACATTAAGAAGAAGGAGAAGGAGAAGGAGAAGAAGAAGAAACCAATCCTGCCAACACTTTGATCTCAAACTTCTAGCCTCCAGAAATGTGAGAAAATCAATTTTTGTCATTCAAGCCACCTAGTCCATGGTACTTTGTTACAGCAGCCCTCGTTATCCTGTATCCCTGGTGTTTTCACATCTCCTTTGTTCTCTTCTACAACAGGGAGAATAGGAATGGAACGTTTTGTTTCCAAAAGTGCCAAGCTGTAAGGACACTGCTAGGATTTATACTTAGATCTCATCCATCCTATGCAGAAAGGTGAAGGTTTTTCTTTGGTTGCAGACTTCTGTTGCAACTGGAACAGACTCTATACCACAGATCCCAAACTGGTGACCCAAATGGGTTGAATAGGTTGAATCAAACATGCTTTATGTTGGTCCGCACATATTAAACATTTTTTATAAGTGGCAAATACTTAAAATTTGAGGGACTTTCACATTAAAGCCCATGATTCTGGATTCTCTTAGAAAATCAGAAGATTCCACTTTACTGGGCCTCCCTGGCAACAGTCTATTGGAGTGAAGTAGTGGTCTTCTCTTTAGATGGAACTTGTATTCTCCACTTCCTATAGTCCCCACCCAGACTCCTGAATTCATTTACCTGACCCCGTTCCCCATTTCCATCTGTGAGTCTGGTCAAGTAAAAAGGCCAACATCTGTTACTCTTCACCTTGCAAAGAGTCATCACAGAAGTTCCTCTCAATAGCAATTGACATGTAAGTGTGATATTTTCTTTGCCTTTTGTTCAACTAGCAAAGCTTATATCACATTCGGCTCTTTGGATCCTGATTAAAAGTTGAGCTGAAATTGGGAGCACGCTACCATAAGGCAGGGTTGTAGAAGCATGGAAAGCTCAGCCTTAGGAAAGACTGAAGACAGGAAATGAGAGGACTAGCTGACCTTGGCCTCTGACTAGCCTGACCAGATGCTCCAAGTAATTAGCACCCTGGCCTGCCAACAGTATTGGATTCACAAAGGGTAACTTAGGTTGCCAAGAACAATAAGACAATTGTTCTTGTTTCAAGCTATCCAGGATGGAAAGCACATAGAATCACACCTGGATGGTGGCGGACACTGTCTCTCTTGTGCTTCTATGAGATGAATTGATGCTATTGAGCTATAGTCTGCATGAAATGTCTTCTTCACCTATTCTCTTCCTAGAACATAGGAGAAATTGGTTTAAGATCGGATTAATTCTAAAACATTCTGAATGGTTCCAAAGAGCTGAAACAGGTTTTGTTGCAGTGAAAGAGCTACGAACAACTATAATAGCCATAAAAAGAAGAGCTTACAACAAAGCTAGCATTTCCTTAAAAGATGGA